TTTTTTTCAGTGAATTGAGTTGAATGAAAAAGTTCGCGTATGAGAAAATAGTGATTTTTGCAGTTCTCTGGTATGTACATACACATATTTCTATATATGTATGTACATATGTATGAATGTACAAGTTGCAACCTTATTTATTATATTTTTAATTTGCAATCCTTTTTGATTTAAGGAGGTAGCGATGATTTGCAATATGTAGTCGTGGTAAACTTTTTTCTTAAGAAAAGTTCTATAAATATGGCAATCATCTTAAAATACAAACCCTAAACAAAAATCGTTACGCATTTTTCGCGTTTTTTTTTTTATTGTTCTATAACTTTTTATAAATTTTTAATATATTAAGTGAAAAAATTTATTAGGTGGCAACTCTATAAAATAATTTTTTTGCTTCTTTGGTGTGTATTATATAAGGAGACATTTGTTTTATGTTAAATTGAGTTTTTTTTTTCAAATATATAAACGTGCCAACCTGATTTATTTATTATTATTTTTTTTATTTGCAAACCTTTCTGATTTACCACTGGCAGCTTAATTTAATAATAAAGTGTTCAAATTATGTATATAGTTTTACATAAAAAAGTTATAATTATTAAAATTCTTAGAGTTATCATATTCAAAATCAGGCTAACCAAATACATAATTCTATTCAAAAGCTAATATTACTTACTTTCTTTCTTTCAGTATGGCGTTTTCATGATTCTGCTGCTCATTGCCGAAATCGTTGCCGGTGGCTTGGCTGCTTTCTATAAAGAAAAGGTGCGTATACTTACCTAGTAGTTGCTATGTTGCCATTATGTTTTCTGTTATTAATAAAAAATTTACTTGGCATGATTTTAGGCGCGCGCTGAGACCAAAACTTTCCTGCAATCCACCATCACCGATTATTACTCCACCCATGAAAATATGGACGCCGTCACACTCATGTGGAATCAACTGATGAGTCAGATGAGCTGTTGCGGCGTGAATGACTATCGTGACTTCGATGCCTCACTCGCATGGATCAGCAACAAGGGTAATCGCACGCTGCCCGAAGCTTGCTGTGTGCTGAAGGATGTGAGCCAAATGTTGCCGCGTGACGATGATTGCGTGATAAATCCTAGTGAGAGCAACAGCTTCTACAAGAAGGTAAATCATAGATTTTAGTAATATATCAAGCGACTTTTTAATATACACACATGAAATTTATCATGTCATTTTTTTTTTTTGTAATTTAGAAATATCTTATATAATCTTTTTATAAATTTTAAAAAATATTTAAAAAATTTTTGTATATGTTTCATGCAATTTTTCACAAACTAAAAATATATCATCCAATTTTTTTTTTTTTTTTTGTATATAAATTTTAGAAAATATAATATAAGGATTTTTTTAGACCAGTTAAAAATAAATGAAATTTTTCCATACTCTCTAAAATATATCATGTAATTTTTTTAGAAGATATTAAGAATTTATTCATATATTACTTTTAATTGTTTTCAGGGCTGCTATGAAGTATTCACCGACTGGATTATCTCCCACCGCGAAATCATTATTGGCGTGCTGCTGGGTGTTGGCATTGTTCACTTGTTCGCCATCTTTTTGGCATTCTGCCTGTGCAAGGCGTTCGCTAAGTACCATGGCATGCGTCTTTAAGATTCTCCCCATGCAAAGCTAGCCAATTAGTAGCACCAAATATGACTAGTGAAGCAAAAAGCAAAAAGATGTTGTGACGAAAAGACTTCGACAATTATGAGAAGCCATTTCTGTCTCTTTTCGTAAATTGTTTATATTGTTGAGTTATTAGTTTTACAAATTTTTGGACAAATTTTGTAGAAACCTTTTTTTATTGGTAATAAGTAGTTTACAGACATTTTTGTAAATTTTTATTGAAACTTTTGCATAACTTTATGCATATGGATATTGAACTATTCGAACAATTAATAATATTGTTAAATATATTTGAATAGTTACAAACAATCAGATGGGAAAATAATTAAGGAAAAACATTTGTTGATGAATGAGTATGCAAATAGCAAAGCGCCTTGAGTTAGGTTTTGCTAAATTTAAGTAAAAAAGAGAGCATACTTGCATACTCAAGTAAAAAACAACTAAAAAAATAAAAAATTAAAATAATAACAACAAATCGAACTAAGACTTGATTTTAGTTATTTTAGTATAAACTCTCAATGCTTGCTAGTAATAACTAACACTTGTAGAAATCGTTTAGTCTAGAATTTAAGCGAGAATCTCTCCACACTATACATCACAAATCAATTGTAGAACATATCGGAATGAAAAGTTTGAAAAACAAATTGTCGAAATGAAAAATTTGAAAAACATAAATGTTTTTAAGCTAAGATTTATACGAAAATCACAAACAAAACCTAAAAAATCATAAACGAAAACAGAAACAGAAAATCACACAAAAAATAAAATAAAAAATTAGAAAATTTTGAAAACAGCTGATCACAAATTTCGAAAATTGTATTCGAAAAACATAGCAAAAAACAAGCTTATAATTTTGTAACCGTTAAATCGAAATGATTGAAATTCTGAGTTTCTTTAATTTTAAAACTCAATAATTGTTAATTATTTTTGAAATTGCAAGTTTTATTTTTCTTCATTATAGAAAACACAAAAAAAGCAATACTTAGCCTGTAACTAAAGTGAATACAAACTTTCGAATACTTCTTAAGAGCCTTGGAAATTAAAAATTAATAATTCTTTCAGCGACACCACTTATAAATTGTTATGCGACGTTTATTTAAAATTACTGCCTTTTTTAAAACTTTTTCATAGAATTTTGTGAATTTCATACACAAGAAAAATATTAATCATTGCAAAGATTTTTTTTTTATTAAAAA